CGCCGCCTCCGCAGGGCTCTTCCCCGTCGCCGTGCTCTTCCCCCGTTTCGCCGCCTGTGCCCGAGAGCAGCGGGTGCCCCGCCGCCGCCGCCGCCGCCGCCACCTCCTCAGGGGGAAGGATCCGACACCGTCAGAGGCGGCGGTCGCCGGAGCAAAGCCGGGCCTCTCCGGAAAGGAAGAGCCCTAACTCGCCAGTTTGTAAAGGTGAGGAGGGTGGTTGTGTGTGTGTGTGGATATGTGTGTGTGTAGAAGGGAAGGCCTCTCCAGGGAAAGGGGCAAGAATGGAGGGGGGAGAGATGGTGAAGGTGACAGATACGTCCCCCCACATGGTTGTGAGGCGCTTCAGCTGGCCGAGGGAAGAGTGCCATCTCCCGAAGAGCATTGGGGGCCTGGCTTTGTATCCGAGAGAGCTCGGGGTTCAGTTTCCCCCAAGCGGGGCTATTATAGCGCAGCCTTGGGAAGCGACCACGAGGCGAAGAGAAATTGGGGGCCCTTCACCGCCTCACTCTTCCTGCTGGCTCCCAGACCCATTGTGGAGAGTCCACACTCGGGGGCGGGGGGGCGGGGATGGAGGTGGCGTCTCGTATTTTTACTACAGTATTTCCAGATCTCGTGATGTGTGATGGTCCTTCGGTTTCTTCACCGTAATTTGAGGGCTGGAGATTTTTGAGTATCCGCCTGGGAAGAGCTGCTCGATGGTATGCAGGAGCCCGCAGAGAAGAAATGTTAGGAACCATCATGTTATGTCTGAAAAGAGTAAGGGGAATAAGGGAAGTGAAAGACATGTCTAGACATGTCTGAATTTAATGCAGTTTTACAATGATTTGTGAGCTTACATTTAAAATGTAAAGGTGATGGTACAGTGGGGTCTTGACTTAAGAACGGCTTGAGTTAAGAACATTTTGACTTAAGAACCACTCTCATGGGAAAATATTGACTTGACTTACATACTTAGATTTGAGTTAAGAACTGAAAAAAACCACGTGGGAGGCAGGGAAAGTGCAAATTTTGAACTTTCAGTTAACTGTTGGCCAGTGAAAAGGGTGCCTGTCTGCTTCCTCACTCCTCCCAGCGTTTAGAGAGTGGATTGGGAGTCTTCAGACTGCCTGGTACTGCCTGGACTGTATTTTCCCTGCCTTCCCTGAACCTTTCTTGACCTAAGAAAAAAAGAAGCAAAATATCCCCCTCTAGTGGTCGAAGGCAGAATAGCAGCTTCCCATTAGTTTCTATGGCCAGAAAAGAGCAGATACGGATCAAATGGTTTGCAATGCATTCCTATGGGAAATGCAGATTTGACCGGAGAACTTTTTGACTTGAGAACCGCCTTCTAAAACGGAGTAAGTTCTCAAGTCAAGACCCCACTGTATTAACTTTTATCTCTTCTCAACAAATAATGGACATTTATATGCTATCGGGATGATGGCTGTCAGTCTTTGCTCTTTGAAAAAGTGCATTGATGAGGAAGATAAAAAGGAGAGAATGAATAGTTTTGATTCAAGCATGGTGTATAGACTTCTGTAGCTGGCAGGATAGCTCAGTGTTTTAGGTATCTGGCTGCAGAGCCAAACCCTGGGAGTTTGATTCCCCACTGTGTCTCATGCCAGTAGAGCCAGCCTGTGTAGTGCTGGGTAAGCTACACAGCCCCAGGTTGACCTCAAAGGAAGGGAATGGGAAACCACGGGTGAATACCTTCTACCTGGAAAACTTTGAAAAGGGGTTGCCATAAGTCAAAATGGACTTGACAGTTCATTATTATTATTATTATATATGCTTCTGTAAGTGAAAAATTGGCCAGCTAATGTGTTCTCTCATGCAAGGTGAAGCATACTTGATAGCTAGTATTTTGAAATTCTCTTGAACAAATTACGTATATACAGTACTGAATAAATATGCGGTTGACACAGTGAGAGAGATTTTTAGATGTTTGTCTATTTTTAATATTAATGGATCCATAATGAAATAAAGTTTCTAAAATATAGTAGCATTCTGCGGGTGCATGGTGTGGCTTGGATATTGAATTCAAGGGAGCAAAAAGGGTGCAAATCACTGGCGGAGCAACCTTTTGTGCAAGCATGGACAAAGTGCATAGTACACCTAGTGTTAGAGATATAAGTGATGCCATTGGAAACTGCACCTTCATGATGCTCAATGGTGTATCTGATTCATGTATAAGCCTAGTGAGTTGGTAGTAACTCACCATACATTGATTTCAAGAAGCCTCAGATTTTGTCAGTGAATACAGATTTAAATACAGTGGTGCCTAGCTAGATAGTTACCCCGCATGATAGTTTTTTCGCTAGACATTGACTTTCTGCGATCGCTATAGCGATTCGCAAAACAGTGATTCCTATGGGGGAATTTCACTGGACAATGTTTGGTCCCTGCTTCGCAAACCAATTTTTGCTAGATGACGATTTTGACAGCTCCCTCCGCGCTCGCAAAACAGGTGTTTTCGGGACCTAAGCTTTGCAAGACAGCGATTTAAACAGCTGATCGGCAGTTCGCAAAGCGGCTTTCCTATGGCCGATCTTTGCTAGACAATGCTGATTCTTCCCCATTGGAACACATTAAACAGGTTTCAATGCTTTCCAATGGGGAAATGCTTTTCGCTAGACAATGATTTCGCTAAACAGCAATTTCAGTGGTACGGATTATCATCGTCTAGAGAGGCACCACTGTACCCACTTGCCTGATTACCTACTTACCTCTGGTGAACCACATACTGCCAGCCAGAGAACTTTCTGCAAAGAAAAGTTTGCACACGCCCCACTTGTCTATAAATGACTAAATTGGTGTGTATGGACAGACAAATAAGTAAAATGTCTTGTGAAGTAGTAACTCTTTATTTAATGTTATTTATTTAAAACATTTTTGCCCCACCTTTCTCCTTTCCAGACTCATTGGCAGCTTACATCCTTGAAAGACAATATTTAAAGCTGAAATGATGTAAACAGTATAACAGTGGTTTACATCATTAAAAGACAATATTTAAAGCTAAGAACAGTGAGTATAAAAAGGCAGCCTACAACATTAAAATACAGTATTAAAGCTAAAAAAGTATGCAGATACTAAAAAGGAACTACCAAATACTACTCTGAGAGAAGGTTACCACAAATAGTACTAAAGACCAGTCAGAGCAGCAACGCATAGCAATCCATCAAAAAGTTACTCATGTAACCAGCCATATGATCAGTAACTCGTGTAAGCAGTCACTGAGATAAAGCTTGCCTGGGGAGAAAGGTATTTGCCTGCTTACAGAAGGACGGCAAAGATGGGGCCAGACTAGCCTCCTGTGGGAGGGAGTTGTAAAGTCTGGGAGCAACAACAGAGGAGGATCCTGTGTCCCCATCAGATGCACCTGTGAAGGTAGTGGGACCAAGAGAAAGGCCTCACCTGATGAACACCTGAGCCAGCACATATTGGAAAACACATTCTTTGAGATAATGTGGACCCAGGCCATTTAGAGCTTTATAGGGTAAAGCCAGCTCTTTGAATTGTGCCCAGAAACTGACTGGTAGCCAGTGGAGCTGCTGTAATGGGGGTTATGTTATCTTTGTAACCAGCCCCAGTCAGCAATCCGGCGGCTGCATTTTGGATCCACTGAAGTTTCCTGACACTTTCCATCAGCAGCCCCACATAGAATGAGTTACAGCAATCTAGCTGTGAAATAATCAGGGTGTGTATGACACTGGCCAGATCAGATCTCTCCAGAAACTGATGTAGCTGGTGTACTAGTTTTAATTGTGCAAACACACTCCCGGCCACTGTTAAACCCTGGGCACCTGTGTTTTCAGGGGGAATGTGACCCCATCCAGTACAAGCTGCATTCCTATTCTTTGATCTGTCTTTAGCTTCACCAGGAGCACCTCTGCCTTGTCGAGATTAAATTTCAGCTTTATTCACCCTCATCCAGTCCATTACTAATGCCAAACACTGGGTTCGAGCGGAAACAGCTTCCTTGGATTTAGGTGGCAAGGAAAGGTAGAGTTAGGTGTCCTTCGCTTACTGTGACACGGAACCCCAAAACTTTGGATATCCTCTCCTGGTGTTTAATAACATAGGAGGCAAAACAGAAACCTAAGGAACCCTCCAGTGTCAAACCCAGCCCTAGTTTCTGAGTTCTCCTCCAGGAAGGACTGGAGCATAAAACAGAGTCCCCAAGTCCCGTTCCAGAGAGACGGGTCAGAAGGATACTATGATCAGTAGCATTGAATGCCACTGAGAATTCCAGAAAAACCAACAGGGACACACACCCCCTTCCAGCCCCAGCTTAGGTCATCCGCCAAGTTGGCCAAAGCAGTCTTGACTTAATATGAAATTGTGCTTCGGAAATAGCATTGTAAAAGCTGAAATTGACTTGGGAATTAACATTGTAAAGCTGGTGTTTTAAGGACAGAGAGGAATTCAGAAACTTCAGTCCTCATTTGCTTAAGTGAAAATGTAATCAAGATTAGTTTGTGTACACTGTATGCATACTTGCCATTGAACTCAGTGTGACTTCCCACTAAAAAAGTATAGGATCAAGCTGCATAGCTGCAAAAAGCACTATGTAAAGTATGGAATGTTTCATATTTCATGTGCATATAGCTGTATGTAAGATTTTATTGGGAGATTCCTTGAATTGCATTGTTTAGTGATCAATTACATTTTGACATCCTGTATTAACATTTAAAGGGATGTGGTGGTGCTGTGGGTTAAACCGCAGAAGCCTCTGTGCTGCAAGGTCGGAAGACCAGAAGTCCTAAGATTGAATCCACGTGATGGAGTGAGCGCCGGTTGCTTGTCCCAGCTCCTGCCAACCTAGCAGTTCGAAAGTATGTAAATTCAAGTAGATAAATAGGGACCACCATGATGGGAAGGTAATGGTGTTCCATGTCTAGTCGTGCTGGCCACGTGACCACAGAAACTGTCTACGGACAAATGGTGGCTCTACGGCCTGGAAACAGGGATGAGCAACGCCCCCTAGAGTCGGACATGACTGGACAAATTGTCAAGGGGAACCTTTACCTTTACTTATTAACATTTAACTGCTGGACTGGGGAGCTTTTGTTGAGTGTGCTTTGTAACTCACTAAATTCTGCTTTGGCACTTTTTTGGACAAAATGTCATTCTTCAAAGGGACTAAGATGCATATATTCTGGTCAATTTGACCTTTTAATTTTCATTTGGGAGTAACAAAAGCATAAAGAGGTTTTATCAGACAG